GAGGCGGAGTCGTTGCTGCGAGTAACACAAAAGTACAAAGTTGCAAAAGCGAGTGAGAAATAAAGAATGTGAAGAAACGCTCTCTGCAGCACGAACAGACTGATGTTAACCTTTAACAGGGTCAGAACAGCTGCTGTGTAACGCCATCTTACTTTAATTGGTCACATGACTGCATCACATGACTAACATGTCATTGTTTTCAAAAAGTCTCAGTTTTCCACACTGTGACACGAAAGCACCGTTTTCAAAACGCTGCGTTGTCCTTGAGCGAAAACGGCGTCTCAGTGTGGACAGGAAATGATGCATTTTCAAACAAAAACGTGTTAGGGTGGACGTAGCCTGATACTCGCACCACTGAGTCATGATAGGCTGGGTCGGAGGTCAGTTTATGATCACTGATATGTAAACTGATTTATCACTGATCAATAACCATGAGTCCCATTCACAGAGAGTTGAATGGCTGCAATCACAGCATGTAAGATGGTGACAGATGGACCCTTAGGCCCCTCCTCCATTCAGAGATGGTCTTTCCCTTTTCACGTAAATGTCCTCCTTGACTCCGCCCTCAAACCAGCGTTCCTCCCTGTCCAGGATGTTACATCATCAGAGTGTGCACTGGCCTGTAGGTGTGAATGCTGCAGAGTCCTGGCCTGACGAGGAGGCTCTGCTGTGTTGGTCCATCCTCTCAGCCAGAGGTGGTTTGGTTTCCTCGATGTATAAATCCTGGCTCCTCCTGCACTTAACAGCGCACACTCTGTTACTCTGTGTCGGGGGAACTGATCCTTGGGGTGGACCAGTGTTTAGGGTTTAAAGTCCACAGAGACGCGGTGTTTAGAGAAAGTGTGTCAGCTGGCACGTACGGATCACTGAGGGTTTTCAGCAGTTCTGTCCTGGATCAACACATTTACTCCTGGATGTGCTGTCCTCCTCCTGCTGTCACGCCAGTGTTCTCACTCAGCTTCAGTGTAAATGGAAGCTTTACACACTGTTATTGTGTCCTCTGTGTTAAACTACATCACCCATAATGCACCTGGAGCTCCTCTGTGTGTGCGATTAATGTGTGTGTGTGTGTGTGCGCAGGTGTGAACAGCAGCATCAAGTTTTACTGTGAAGCGAAGAATGCCAGGGGCGTCTCCGTGTCCAGGACTGGAACCGCTCATATCAAAGGTGAGGCCACACCCACACAGGTGTGCGTCGAGCTGTGACTGCATGGCTATGTGTGGGCGTGGCTTGTAAACAGCGTGCCTTTGTGTGCCAGTGCTGCCGGAGGCGCCGGTCAGCCTGCAGATCGTAGGGATGGTGGATAACAACGTAACGTTGTCATGGAAACCGGGATTCACTGGTCACTCTGAACTGTCCACCTGTATCGTCCAGGTAATGCACACCTTACCCTCATACCTCACCTGTAGGCCTCA